GTTAGAACAAGACCAAGAAATTTTCGAACCACAACCCCCCCCCCCTCCATTTTCTTTTCATGAAGGGGTTAGGTTTAGGGCACAACTTCTCGGCTTGCTTGCAAGGCGCGTTTGACCAGGTAAAGTAACAATGGCACGTGCCTGTTTGTCTGGCAACGGCACCAAATATCTATCGCATGTGGCATTGCTATGGCAACTGACGTGGTGACGGCATTAACTAAAGCTGGAAGCGTGCAAGCTAGACGTGCTGGGAATTTGTACACTTCTAGCTTTAGTTCCTAATGGTTCCTAACATGCCATGGCCGCACTTGATGACTAGGCAATTCATATTTCCCACGAAGTGTTGCCGACTGCGGCAACCATGTTGAAGTTCCGTCGTCCCGCCGGTAAATATCTGCTGCGGTCAGCAGACCGACAGGCACGCAGCATCGTTACTTCATCTGGTCGATCGCGTTTCACGAGTGTCTTGGCCTAACGAGCAGCTATATTACACTGCGGTTTAGGGTTAGGGTCTGCCCGCGTAGATTGATGTCACAAAGTACAGGTAGCTAAAGTGGTCTCCATTTCTCACTCAAATTAGGGCAATTGAGAAAATTTTGAGGCTGGTCGGGCATTTTGGCACAGCGTGGCTCAATTTCAGCAAACTTCATGGTTCTGACAGAGCTCGGCGCATAGATCAGGAATTTTATCAAATTGGTGCAATTGGCCCAGCTGTTGCACCCCTGCGATTCTAAGCAACCCCCCACCTCCGCCCTCATTTTAACTAGAAATAGTTTAGAAAAAACGTTTGCTTGCGGATATAAGCACCCCTCTTTTTTTTACTTTCTGCAAGCATGGCACAGTCAGGGCCGCAGCGCACCCTCTCGTCGCCAATCTCGGAAGCCGCCATGTGGTGTATGTTGCTAGGTGCAGACAAGAGGCAGCGGCACAATCCAATCCAATGTGCAAGTACAAACACGTCAGGCTAGCTTTGCGGTGGCGTGTGGCATGTGCATGTGTCTTCCTCAGTTGTTGGATAGCCCTGACATTGGTCAGAATCGGTGCAAAGAGGGCTTCCTACAACTTGAAGTTTAAGCAAGCAGCGATCGCATTTAATGAGGACAATGGCAGACACAGTGTTGCAGTAAAATTCCGCGTGGACCGAGCCTGCATCAACAGGTGGAGGAAGCAGGCAAAGGCAACGGAGGTCGCGATGAGAATAGGGATTCTCCCGCGTGGTGTTTCTTGCTAGCCATGGCGGGGGGTGGGCACAAGATGCAGAGGAACAAATTTTCTTTAAGACACCTGGCCCCAATACGCCAAAAGCTGGCAACTGATTTTGATGACAAACTCGATGCTTTCCAGCAACATGTGCTGGTTTTTCACAGATAAATAGCTATGACTTCGGCTGAATCGGCAACGTCAATGATTGATTGATTGATTGATTGATTGATTGATTGATTGATTGATTGATATGTGTGGTTTAACATATTAAAACCCCCATATGATTATGAGCGATGCCATAGTGAAGAGCTCCGGAAATTTTGACCATCTTTGATTCTTTCACGTGCACCCGAATCTGAGTACACAGGCCTACAGCATTTTCACCTGCATGTAAAATGCAGCCGCCGCAGCCAGGATACAATCCTGCAACCTGCGAGTCACCAGCCGAATACTTTAGCCACTAGGCCACCGCGGCGGGGCAGCAATGCCGATGAGACCCCTGTTTCTTTCAAAAAGCCGAGAGCATGCACCATTAATGAGGTAGGAGCCCAGGAAGTGGGATTGAATACGACAGAATACTAGAAGCAGTGTGTCACAGCGATGCTGTGCATCACAACTGACAAGCGCAAACTTCTACCCTACATAACTCTGAAGAAGAAAAACGCTCGGTCGCGATTTCAGGAGGCATGACACCAGTGCTGCAACACCTGGACGCCCCAATGAACAAGCCTCTCAAGTCCCACCTTCGACCGGAGCATGAAAGGCGAGCCCGGAACCTCAAAAAAAATAATAACAGCAACGGGAAAGTTGCAGAAAGCGTCTCTGTCCACCGTGGCAACATGGATTTCGAACACACGGAAACGTAACAAAGTCGACGTTGTCGCGAAGTCGCTCAAGAAGTGTTGCATTACAAACAACCTGGACGGCACCAAAGATGATCTGTTGTGGGACACTGACAGTGGTGGCTTGAATGGTGCGATGGACTCAAGCAGTGCGACGGACTTGAGCGGCAGTGAAAGTGACCGGCATGCTACAAGAGTGGTGCGTTCACTGTGTGCACCTATTTTTATTAATTCTTTCAAATTCAACGCAATTTCTCGCATCAGCCTTGTTGATATGTTGCCGCAAAAGGGGGTTGGGCTGAGCGGTCTTACGAAGCCGAGACGCCAACACGGTCCCGAACGCGCCACTGCTCCGAACTACGCCGCCAAGGCCACCAGCCGTTTGGTAGCGTGTGTTACTCAGCTCACGACTGCTTCTGCGCAGAGCTGATAGACGTGCGGACGAGACGACGGTGGGCTAAACCAAGGTTTATGTACAGCATAAAAATAGAGGAGTTTTAAATTTGGCACTGGGGCCGACAGCTTAGGGACTCGAAGAGCCGAGATGTCTTTTCTCGCATGCATCCGTCGGCTTCTCTCTCTGTTACGAAGTGCACCACCGACGAGGTTACGAAGGGTGCCACGAAACTCGCCGCTGCGAAGGACCCCGGGTGCGCCGATTGCGAAAGGGGCTCAACGCAACGAGAGGTTCCTCTGACACAAAGGTCTACTGCGAGCGACGCGCCACAGGGCTTGTTTTATAGGCACCGGGTGGATCCTTTGAGTCACCAAACGTCCAACCAGAAGCGCCACTGGCCGTGATGTCAGAATCTGCCAATGGGGCCCGCCGCTGGGCCGCATCATGCTCATCAAATCCGGAGCCTCTGCGCATGGTTGCAGCCAAGAAAAACGGACGTTCCCACGCATTGCGGAAGACTCGCCAGACTAGAAGGCGCTGATTGCTTGCGGGCTCGTGGGCTGAGGGAGGTCGCTGTGCGTTGCATAATAGACCAGCACCGCCGCTTGATGACGTCGTTGAGTTGCGTCAGGCGGGTTTGACAGCTGGCCTTGACACAGATTGCCTTTGCAGAGGCATTGACGTTCGGTGTGGACTAGCAGGCCTAACAGCGTTCATTTTTCAAATTTAAGCACCCCCCTTCACTTTGAATATCCCGATTGTGGAAAAAAGAGTATACTTATAATTGAGTAAATAAGGTAGCCATCAAGTGCAAACACACAAATCATTCCTGCGAGACAGGGCAAATGAAAGTGTGCTGAATTACTAATAGCCTTTTCGGTCAATATTAAAATTTATAGGACTCTGTAAACTATTCAGTCTTGGGGATTTACTTGTCGAAAACTATGGTATGATCATGAGACATGCCACAGTATCCTGTAACTCCGGATGACTAATTTTATTAACTTGGGATCCTTTAACGTGCACCTCAATATAAAAACACAAGACTTCTCTCATTTTGCACTCATTAAATTGGCCGTTGGTTATCTGCCATTGGTCAAAAGCCACAGCCCAGAAATTTTCACCAATGAAATACAGCTAATGAAGGCATAAGAAAGTCAAAGTATCATAATAGAATTACGCCACCATCGTTAAGTGATTCTCTTTTGATTTCATGAAACTGATGCATTTACTTAATTTTGAGGTCTAAGCTGACCCTAAAGTTTGGTATACGATTACTGTTAGAAGAATAGTATCAGTCCAAATTGATTGATATGTGGAGTTCATTGCCCCAAAACCACAATATCACCATGAGAGACGCCCTAGTGGAGGGCTCCGGAAATTTTGACCACCTCAAGTTCTTTAACGTGCCCCCAACTGTAAGCACACGAACCTGCAGCATTTTCGCCTCCATCCAAAATGCAGCCGCCATAGTTGGGATTCGATCCCGCAACCAGCGAGTTGGCAGCCGAGTGCCTTAGACCAACGCGGCGGGTGGTATCAGTCTAGACTTAAAGTAACACGGTAATGACTATGACGCAGCAACCACAAGGACGACTTAAGATGTGTGCAATGTCACTGCACAATAACGGCCCATACAGTGCAGCGCACTACCACACCCGGTGCAGTCAGCGGATGCAAGCACACTTCGACGAGCCCGTGAAAAAGATGGCTCTTACCATATGCAGGCTTGTGTTTCAAATTCCCAATGCATTGTGCACAGAACAAGCTCTGAAGAAAAAACAATAATTTGCAAACACCTTTTTTCCGGTTTCATAGATGACCGTAACTTGGAGCATGGGTCAGGAATCACTCTGGGGCAGGTTCCAAGGAAAGCAGCCAGTGTTGCGGTTACTGAACTGCGGGTAACAGTAGTTCAGTGGCCACGACAAAGAGTGGCTGAACACCGCACTCTAAACTGTTCGACCGCAAACGCATCTTAACAAAGGGGTTGTCTTCATCTTACCTCACTATATATACACTAGGGGGAACTTTGGCGCTAGTGTCTATGGGAGCTGCAATGCAGGGTATTTCAGCAAGCATGCGAATGACGGGTAGTACATGGATTTGCCTACTCTTTGTACTTTCAGTTTCATTCAGTTTCACGTGGCTTGGAGGTGCTTTATCACGAATTGACAATCAGCAAATGTTGAGCCATCGCTTTTCACCACTGCAACCTTTTAGGCTCATTATTTCAAATCGGGTCATGAAGTTCGAAACCAGTTAATTCTTTTATTGAAAAAAAAACCAAAACACAAAATTAAACTAATGCACAAGTGCATTCAAAGCCCGCAAGCACAAAGACTAGGCAAATCTATGTACTACCCATCATTTCCACAAAAACTGAACGATTGCAGCGCCAGAGTCCCCTCTAGTTAACTTTGGAAAACTATGATCTCAATGGCAGAGTTGCCCAGTGAATTTCTTTTCAAGAAAGTTCTCAACAAGCCATGAAAACACCCCTCTGAACAACAACAAAACAAGGCACACTTGTTGCCCCCATTGTCAACTCGATGTCTTCATTGAAAACGTGCAGGTCCCCTCACCTGGTCCCAGTTGTGCCCTCTCCACTTGGCGGCCAAGGTTGACAGGCGCTCGTCCTCCTCGGGAGTCCAGGGGCCCTGGTTCAGGCGCACGTCCAGAAGGTTGCGCCACCTCGCCTCGCAGTTGAATGCCGTCCGGTTCGTCCGCATGTCGACAGCTGCAATGCGCAGCCAGTCGATGGGGCGCGTAGCCTGCTCCAGCAGCTCTTCCAGGCTCAGATCGCGAGTCTTGGCCATCTGCGAACGAGCGAACGGAATTCAAAGCTTGCAGGTTCGATCCCTGCCAGAGGCAAGTCGTCTTTCTGCCTGTCACATCTGGATCACCATTACTACAGTACACTTATAACAGCAGAATTATGAAAAAGCCAACCAAAATTAGGATTGTGTTTACTTTACGACTTTAAATAGCAAGCAATAAATGATTCTGCAGTTAAATTATCAAAAATGCAAGTTTAATGCATACCTTTATATATGTCACAAATTCTCCATATGCCGCAAAAAAAAAAAGGAGACGTTGGAACAAAAAACGTACCTAGTAACTACAGTCGAAACCGGGTATATCGAACTCGCCAAAAAACGTTTATTAGTTCGACATATGGTATAATTCGATATAGGCCCAGTATGGGTTTTCACACAAAGGCACATAACAAACTAGAAGAAAAGTACTTTATTAATATGGTGGCTTACTTGCGTGCCCTACTGTGGAACAAAATAGTCACGGATTGTTTTCTGTGTCAACGACTTCGCTGCCTGCGACAGCACGCATGCCTCCACGTTGTCCAACGAGTCGGAGCAGCTGAGGCCGCAACATTCCACATTCAAGCAATAGCTCCGAACCGACGCAAGTGCACTGTTCGCTTCGGAGGATGTAGGCAATGGGCCGTCGTCGATTTACATATTGCTGTCCCTTTGGCTCGTGGTCGGCACGAAGTCTGCAATGTAATCCTCATTCTGTAATTGGCCTATGATGGGGACATCATCGTCCGCACTGACGAACTCGTCGATTGTCTTTAGCACACGAGAACTCTGCTAGCTCGTTCCAAACTTCGGCGGAAACACCTGCGGTGTTTTCAGTGCTGTCACAATTTGGGGTGTCATCACCAGGCATGCGGAAGCCGGCATGCCTAAAGCAGTTCTGAATCGTCTCCTTCTTGACATCTGCCCACGATCTTCTCAACATAGAAATAGCTCCGAGCAAGTCGATCTTAAGCTCCCTGCCGACACGAAGGTTCTGCAGCAGCCTCTCCACCAGGCGCTTCCAATAGCCGGCTTTCATTGCGCGTATAACGCCTTGATGCAGTGGTTGCAGTACAGACGTAGTGTTCGGGGGCAACAAATGCAGCTCGATGTTGCTGAAGGTCGTACTGCAGTGGTGCGATGAACAATTGTCCACGAGCAGGCACATCTTGTGATTTTCGCCTACCAAATTATCATTCCATGACGATAGCCATCTGCTGAAAAGCTCCCCGGTCATCCACGCTTTTGAGTTTGCTCGCTAGGTAACTGGAAGCGACAGCGCATTTCGAAAACACCGCTGTGCCGTGCTTTTCCCCAATAACCAAAGGTCGAAGCTTTTTCGATCCATCTAAATTGCTGCCAACAGCACGGACACACGAGCTTTGTTTGCCTTGCTGCCGCTTGTCTTGTCGCTACGACACGCAACCGTCTTGTTTGGCAACATTTGCCAAAATAGAGCGGTTTCATTCACATTGAAGATATCTTGGGCTCTACATCTTGCTGCGATATCTCGCCAGTTTTCCTCGAGCCATTTTTCTACGCTGTCCAGGTCCGTCGCTTTGCTTTCACCTGTAACAGCTTTGCCAATGATGTCGTGCCGTTTTCTTCGAACCGCTGAAGCCAGCTGAAACCGGCCTTGGAAATCATTCCTGCCAAGCAGAAAAGCTAAGGTCCTTGGCTTTCTGCTGCGATCATAGGGCCGGACACCGGCATGTTTCGCGATCGAACGTCCACAAAACCACTTGTAAACGGCCGTTTCAACATCTTCGTACACAGCAGCGCGCACACTTAGGGCGCCACGGGCACCTGGCCTTTGTTCCGACTTGGCCCTGATGTCTGCGTTGTTCTTCAGGATAGTACTCAAATTGCTCCTTAGAATTTTGTACGCGGCGGCGACGTCGGGCTTCTTTTCATCGCGCTCAACCCGATTGATGATTTCGAGTTTCGCGGCGAACGGCAAATTTTGCCTCTTTGCGCAAGCCATTGATGACAGCGTGCCAATACAGTTCACAGAGCATTAACAGGCAACACCACAGACCACCGCTGAATCAGGCAGTAGCAGGCACACAAGCATAAAGAAAGAAAAAATGGCGTTCACTTCTACCACTTCGCACCCCGGAGAAAGCACGATGGCCTCTGAATTGGCTGTAAGCGCTGCGAGGCGGGCCAGGATAGTTTCTTGGAGGGGGGGGGGGGGTGTTCGCCCGCGCACATCCGGTCTAACCAACTTTTTCTAGGGTGGCGCCGGCAGTTTCCTCCCCGCCACTGCAAGGAAAGCACACTTGCTGGAGCACTTCTGAGGCGCATGGAGTTGATATATCAGTTGTCGTTGCTATTTTCGTTCGATAAAACAGCACCTTTTGCTATATATTCTCAATGTAAACTACCTGCGTTTAGGAATTGTTCGATATATGGATAATTTGATATAACAGTTCGATATAGTCCGCTCGACTGTACTATTCATGTCGTGTGGTGCACTTGGTTATGCACAAATCAGAAACAAAATCATTGAAGATAGAAAGCAGAGTTGAAGATAGAATTAAGAGTTGTTATACATGCTTCGCATTCTCTTCCATCAGCTACAAAAGAATTGTTCCTAGCATAGAATACGTTCCACTGGACGGTGCTGAAATTTTCATGCTGAAAGCCATCTTCCCCGTGAGTGCTTGACAGTCAGCATTAAAGGCCACATACATTTCGTAACTTGCTTCCTCGAACCTTCTAAATATGTCACGAGTTCATGACACGCGGCAGTAAAGGGTAATTTTCGTTAGCTTCGTTAAGGCTGCTTGCCTTTTCTGCCCCCCAGTACTCCTCTGGGCACTATAAAACACTGTTATGCTGATCGTGAAATTACAGATTAGTTTTAATAAACAATACCAATGTTGGTGTTCACATATTAAAACCAAAATGTGATAACAAGGGTCTACCGCAGCGGAGGGTTCTAGAAATTTGAACAACTAGGGTTATTAACGTGCACTAAATCTAAGTGCACGAGCCTTGTACATTTTTAGTCTATCGAAAATGTGGGGGACTACACTTAGATTCAGAAGCATGTTAACGAGAGATGCCTAACAAAAAAATGCAGTTTTTGCATAAATTACGTGTTTTTACTTGCTTTCACAAATAGATTTTCTTAATTACAAAAGCAGTAAAAAAAGTCGACTAACTACACTCAAAGTAGGTTGAAATCCGTTTAAAGAGAACACAAGGTGCTATCGAAAATTGAAAGGAGCTCATTGTCTAGAATCATCGAGAAGTTGTCACCAAACATCTCATGATGAAGAAGTAAGATTAAAAAAGCATATTTTGCCACATAGATGAGCTTCATTTCTACGTTTCAAATACATTTTTATCCAAGTGCAGATTTTGGGGCAACTTTTTAAGTTAGTCCCAGGCACTACAATACTACACTGTTTGTATCAAACGTTTGGGAAAAGTTTAGAAGACAATACCTTGCTAACAATATTGCCACAATGCCTCAAACTATTCCAAGGCAGATTTCTAGATCCTCGACACACTTTCGCCAACAGCTTTTTTCATCAATTCGAAGGCTACCTGGTAGGCAAATTTCAGAGGGTCCTTATATAGACACACGCATACAAGCTTCTTCAACAGCACTTGGGTACCATATGAGTGATGTACTTGGAGGCAGGCTTTCACTTTCAGGAATAGGTAATAGTTTTCTGGAGTAGAGCAAGAGGTTGGTAAATTGCCTGTATGCCAGTTATCGCCAGGCAGTTGGGCAGTTGTCAGGCCAGCGCTGAAACTTGTGCCGCGCTCCTGTTCAATTGTATGCTGCATTCTGCTCCTGTATCAGGTCACTAAGCAGAGATCCAATCAAAAACTCTTACAAGTGATTGACACTTTGTGTCTCTGAAAGGCCATATCCCCCCAACAGTGCAACCCAGTGAGAGTATGCGGCAAGATCCATAAGAACCCGCATATAGTCCAGACCCATCTATAGTCCTGATCCGGATATACACTGAAACCTGCCTATAACGAACCTCCATATAATGATTTTTCGATATAACGAAGCTTTTCTATTCCCCGCCGTTACCATTGAAGCACACGAATTTGCTCCCTCTACGTAACAAAATAAACAGTGGGAGAAATCCTTGTATAACGAATTTTTGCCACGACATCTAGGAATCTTGCCCCGATTTTTCGCCATTTAGGCACGAACGTGCGTCTCCGCAGTGCCCCCGCCAATGAAGCGCGTAGTGGCGGCGGGCACGTCATGCCCCGCAACTCCCATGCTGGCTACGGCTCAAGGCAGGCCTGTGCCCCACGAGTCCGCTCTAGCTCGCCCGCGACGAATGTGCCCACCCCTCCCTCCAAACGAAAAGAAAAGAAAAAGTAGTGTGCGTTGGCAGTGCCACGGTTTCAGTTAGCCTCCCAGTACGTGGGGCTACACTGCATATGGAGGGCGCTTTACCGAGTAGTTTTCCGCTGTATCCGTGTCATTCGCTCTTCGTTTTCACATCATGTGCCCGCAGCCCCGACGATGCGCAGCTTCGTGGTTTTTGTGGCTTGTTTGTTTTTTAATGTGGATAACCATGTCGTCACCACCAAGGAGATGTAAGATTAGGCACTGATGGAAACTGACACCACGGTGACAAAGACAGATCTTCGGAAGCCGACTCGTCACGCGCTTCTATCTTGCGCCGTGCCGTGAGTTTGGATGCTTTGGCGATCAGCTCTGGAACAACATGGTGGCGCCTTAAATGCGATATCAACAAATCGTAATGCTATACAAGATAGGCAGACAACTCTCGTGGGTCCAATATCGCGAAACTCCTACACAACTTTGTTGTAAGCAAGTACGACCGCTCCAGGGACGAGTGCTCTTTTCACACACTCTCTTCGAGTTAAAGCGCACTGACGCTTGCCAAGATAGCACGAGCACCAGCGGTCCGATTGCACACTTAACATCAAAGTTCACCATTGCTACTCAACCTCGTGCAGCGATTTTTCACGCTTGTTGAAGACTGGTGGTTTCCTTTCTGTTTGAGCAATCGACGGCAGCCTGAACATGCGAGGGATGTTATTGTATGCAGCTTCCAGGCAATAGAGAAGAGCCGACTCACTTGATCCCTTTACTGCACCTTGTTGCATTTACGCAACATACCAATAAACAGCCATAAAAACGAAAGCTACTTTCATTAGGTCCCTTCTATGCATGCTGTTGCATTTCTGCAACACCAGTTTGAAAAACGCGCCGTCTTGTGCTGCCCCCTGTGCTCATCCTGCTCAACTATAGCCAAACAAACATGGTGGACGCTGCCCGCGCCAGCACGGAGCTACACAGGTAAGATTTGCAAGTTATAAATGTTTGTCTGGACGGATTCAACCGCAGAAAGAGCTGTTAAGCCCTTCGGCACATCCTCCTAATCGTGTAGATTGCAAAAAACGTTATGTTTACGGAATGGTGTGTTTCTTGCGACAAAAAGTTGCTAGTATGTTGCATATATGCAACAACGTGCTCATCATGTTTGTTTTTTTCTCTGAAACTAGAAATGGATCCTAAACGTTTTTATGGCCGAGCAATCCCTTCTGATAGTGAAGACAGCGAACTTTCTGGTAGTGACGATCCAGAGTGTAAGTGTTTTCGATTCATCGTGTGTGCAGTGTGTTGCATGGTGGAATTCGGGAATTTTTTTATAATTGTGTGCATACGCCCGCGGCTGCCCCGCATCGTTACGGCTGCACCCATATGTCTGCGCTCCTGCGTTTTAAATTTTTGTCTATAACGCGAAGACACCGCGCCTAGGGGTTTTGTCGGATTTAAAAATACAGATGCACACTGTTTTCTATACGTGTTCACTTTATTTACCACTAATTTTAGGTCTTGCATATCGCTGTCTGTTTCCACTACAGATATCGCACCTGACTGCGGAAGCCTAAATGACAGCACAAACGAGTCGAGTGCATGCTCCGACGAGGACGAAGCTACACCAAATGGGGGAACATCTGATTACCACCCCACACAAGCTAAAACGCATGATTTGGAAGAAGGCAAATCTAATAAGAGATCCACAGACAGTTCAGTTCTCCGGGCAAAGTGAACTCCCCGAGTTCATTGCAGAACTGGACACCATTCCAATACTTCAAGTTTCTCTTCCCTGGCTCGCTGATTGCATCTACTCCGCATACAGTGCTTGAAACGGTCCTTGACTGTTTTATTTAGGCACACATCACACGGCGCTTATAATTTGTCCTTCGAAGGCAATGACAAGCTAGGCATGCGAGAGTCGTGCAGCAGCCGCTTTTTAGAGGTGACAACGAAACGCCCCAAGCACGAGTATTGATGGGAGCTCAGGCAGTGCTCCATTGCCATTGAACAAAGCCTGTCAAAGCCCGTTCAACGTCGCACAACGCTCCAGTTTTCGACCCCGGAAACTTCTCGAACAGCAGCACACAAAGAGAGCTTCCTTTCATTTCCCCCCAACCACGAATACTTCGCCTGTCTACTAAACTTCCTATTCACTGCACAGTTGCCAATGGTTCTGGCCTAATGATAATGACAGAGCCATGCAATGCCAAAACTGAAACTAAATTCTCAGCTGAAAATTCTTGAGAATGGGCACAGCCCGGGGCCGATGTTAGACAGAATGGAAGCTAGGAAAACACCTCGGACTATACGCGAGTTTTTACTTGCACGGTAACACCAGGACAAAATTGTACCAGGTATTTTTTATCAAAACATTGTACAGTCAAACCCATTTATAAGGGGTAGCAATTCTTGTCTTTTATATAAGATGTCTCTTCTGAGCATGGTACCTCGTATGCGTTTTCATATCGACCCGTAATTTACTGTAGGAACACTGGTGTCTCTTATACCCATTTGTCTGTTATATCAGTGTCTCTAATAAAGAGGTTCGACTGCATTTGCAATGTTCAGCGTCTCGACGTAACACAACAAATTCACTTCGAAATCACAACAGGCTGTGATTAGTGCTTACCTGCTCCTCCAGCTGGTCTATGCGAGCGGTGATTTCGGCTATCTGGTCGGGATCCTCAGTCTCCAGAATCTTCTGTGCCAGGGCCTCCTTGCGGTCCATCATGGACTCGAGACTCTGCTGCAGCACGTTGCTCTTCACTGCTTCCACCTGGGAAGACAGATCACCGCCCTTTGTCGACACGTCCCTACAGCACCTCGTGCTTCTCCAAAGAAAGTTAGATTACATGATTTTTGCTATGGCAGCATTACTTAGTTTGAGGCAGGTGCGAGCGAATCTCTATTTTAGTTTTGAAAATCAAATTCAACCGCATCTTCTCTCAATAATTAGGTCTGAAGATTGCCTGCATGTTAAAACCAACCGAACCGTGTTACCAACAGCCTCCATCAGAAGAGTTAGACACGTGTCGTCCACATCTAATGATGGCGATGCACGACTACCTCACGAGTTGCATTGAATGCCTTCTCGCTCGACGGAGATATTGTAATCTGTTTGCCGTCATAAGAGCAAATACTAGCGACGTCCCTGCTGTTATAATGAACGCTGATTGTCAGGTGAAAGTTATTTTGCAGGTGAGAATTGTTACATTGCACCCTTTGCATGCTCAAGCTGTGATTACGAGTGCCACAAACCAAGGCAGAGTGAATCAGCTGTACATGGACCAGAAAAAGTTTCCACAGACCAAAAAACAAAAATATCGGGTTCTCAGAAATGGGCTCTTCGGCCAGCTGAAGCTACTCTATAGATAGGCTACTCCAGGTAAAGACCCTGTGTGCGGAAGCAATCAAGGCGTCTGAAAAGTGTATAAATTGCCAGGACAATAAATTTTCTAATCCAAGACATACTGTCTAAATTTTTAATTTTAATGATCAACCGAAAGGAATGAAAGTTCATATTTTTCACTCGCGACAATATTTGGTCAACCTTCGATGCAAGTAAAGGTGGTTTTTCATTTCGGACGGATTCCGAAAGTTGCCGCAAGATGCGGGGCCAGCGCAAAACTGTGTCGTATAGCAAAGGTTTTTAATAGATTCTCTTCTTGGAGATTCTGCAGGGATCAAACCGATCCGTTGTAAAAAGTGCGTCCTTGCATAAAAGGGGGGCGTATAATCGAAGTTCCACATGTAGTGGAGCATACGCACTAACGCGTATGCGCCTTCCAAAGAGATCGAAAAACCCCGTGCTCTGATTGCGCGAGAACCTGTGCCACCTTTGCCAGACTTGCCGTATGCCCATTTTCCATCGCGACCTCGTTGCGACTGCTCTGTTTGAATAAACAACATCGCATTTGGTGGAGGCTGCTGAGATCCCTAAGCAGACCTGGAGCTCCGCTCTCGCAAGTTGGCCGAAAGACCACTGTACAACATGACTGACGCAGTCGCCAATCAGCCCATCCCAGCACAGCCAGCACCATCGGCTGCCCCGTCGACCTGCCCCGGCGCTACCCGTCAGCAGGACCCACCAATCTTAAGCTGCAGTGGTGAGCAAGACGTCGAAGACTGGCTGTACTTGTACGAACGCGGAAGTGCCAGCAACAAGTGGGACAATGACTCTAAGCTCGCCTATGTTATCTTTTACTTGGCTGACGTCGCTAAGCTATGGTTTACCAACCGCGGAACCGCCATCGCCAACTGGTCCACCTTTAAGACCCTCACGACCGAAGCGTTCGGCCGACCAGAGGTCCACAAACTCCGCGCTGACCAGCGTCTACGCCACCGAGCCCAGCAGCCTGGCGAGACTTTTAATAGTTATATTGAGGATGTTCTCGACCTCTGCAGGCATGTTAACCCATCTATGCCTGAAGAAGAGAAAATTCGACAGATTCTCAAGGGCATCGAGGATGACGCATTCCAGATGTTGCTGACGAAAAGCCCGACCACGGTGGCAGTCCTCGTAAGCCTGTGCCAGAGCTCCAATGAATTGCGTCGTCAGCGTTCCATCGCCCGACAGAGTGTCCCATCGCCAGATTCAATCTCGGCCGTCGCGCTCGCAAACGGCAACTTTTGCCAAGGAACTCTGTCGAACCAGATTAAAGACTTCATAAGGGAGGAAGTCGCCCGACAGCTCTCTCTGCTGCCACATAGCAATGCGCCCACCACAAGCCTCCCTTCAACACTGTAGCAGGCCATACGCACTGAAATTTGCGATGCCCTCCCTACAATTCCGGCCCCTTATCCATCCAATTCGGTACCATCTGATCTATCAACAGCCGGCTACGCACCACCTGCGCCACCTTCACCTCTCAGCTACGCAGCTGTAGTCGCGCAGCCCCCACCGCATTTAGTTGCCTTATCGGCTCCACCTCCTCCGGCCTCGCCTCCAGTTTACAGGCCCCCACCCCGCTTTTTCCGTCCATCTAATGAGTGGCGCACAGAAGACAATCGTCCTATATGCTTCACATGTGGCATCGCTGGCAACATTGCACGCTTCTGCCGCCGCCGTCCCACACCTGCGCACACATACTTCGGAACTCCTACCTACGCGCCGCAGCAGGCCACCACGTCTGCATATGAACAGAGGCACTACGACACGGATCGCCGCCCATCGACTGCTCGTTTCCCATTCCCTCGTCGCCGATCGCTATCGCCTATGCGTCGACGACCACCTCCTGTGGATGGAAATTAATCAGTGCAGTTCCGGAGGCAAGAACTGCAACTTGTGCGCAACTCCCAAGGCCTCCATTATCGCCCCAAAATGTTGTTCATGTCGATGTTGAGGGAGTCGCCACATTAGCGTTAATTGATACCGGGGCCGCCGTTTCTGTGATGAACACGACATTTTGTCGGAAACTGAAGAAAGTGACCACATCTCTCTGTGGCATGGGGCTGTCCACGGTTAGCGCGCAACACATTCATCCCTCGTCTGTGTATACGGCGCGCGTCGTCATCCGAGACTTTTTGTACGTCGTACAGTTTTTTGTTCTACCATCTTACTCTCATGACCTTACCCTGGGTTGGGATTTCTTATCACGTCATGAAGCTATCATCGATTGTTCCCGTGCCGAAGTGTCCCTTGTGCCAACATGTGAATTTTCACCACCCGACTGTTCTCCTCTGCTCTGCAAACTCATCGCTGACGACGACACCACCTTGCCTCCAGAAGCTTCGGTCCCTATTAGCCTTTCATGTGTGGCGCAACCTGACGCAACGGTGGTATTTATGCCATCTCCGGTCTTTACTGAACGCAAGGGCATCGTTCTCCCATTTGCCGTTCTTACAATTGCGTCTCGTTTAACCGTAATGCCGGTTACCAACCACTGCAACTACCCCATCGGCTTACTTCGTGGTGAAACGTTAGGATATGTGCAACCTGTCGACCATATCGATGATATTACTCTTCCCGACGAAACGCCATGTCACATTGCCACAATCACTCATGCGTCTGGGCCATCAAGTTCGTCAGCCTTCGACAATGCTATCGATGCAGATCTTCCCCTCTCGCATCGCCGCCAACTTGTTGCTCTCCTTAACAAGTTTTGCTCTTATTTCGACTTTCAAGAACCTGCTTTGGGCCGCACCACGACTACCACTCATACTATTGACACCGGCTCACATTCGCCTCTGCGACAGCATCTTTACCGCGTGTCCACCGAAGAGCGTCGCGTCATTACGGAGCAAGTAGATGACATGCTTAAACATGGAGTCATACAGCCTTCTAAAAGCGCTTGGACATCACCTGTGGTTCTGGTAAAGAAAAAAGATGGCACCGTTCGATTTTGCGTGGACTATCGCCGCTTAAACAAGATTACGAAGAAAGATGTCTACCCGCTACCACGAATAGACAATGCCCTTGACTGTTTACAAGGCGCCGAGTACTTTACATCCTTGGATCGGCGTTCTGGGTATTGGCAGGTGCCAATGGCTGAATGTGATCGCCCTAAAACAGCCTTTGTAATGCCGGATGGCCTATACGAGTTCAAAGTCATGCCATTTGGGCTCTCCAACGCACCTGCCACATTTGAGCACATGATCGATACCATCTTGCGTACCCATAAGTGGAAAACTTGCTTGTGTTACTTGGACGACATCGTAGTCTTTTCATCTGATTTCCCGACACATCTTGTTTGCCTCCACGAGATTCTGACGTGTCTGACTTCTGCAGGCCTACAACTTAACTTCAAGAAGTGCCACTTCGCGGCACGAAAACTAACCATCTTGGGACATGTCATCACAAGAGACAGTGTTCTTCCGGATCCCGATAAGCTTCGAACTGTCGCTGACTTCCCGTTGCCCACATCACTGAAAGCCCTAAGAAGTTTCGTCGGTCTCTGCTCCTACTTTCGTCGCTTCGTGCGCAACTTCGCGTCCATCATCGCACCTCTCACGAGTCTGCTTTCCAACAGCAAAGGTATATCTGCATGGTCGTACTGCATCTGACGACGCATTTCACCAGCTGCGCCGCCTGCTGACCTCACCACCTATTCTTCGTCACTACGACCCCGCTGCTGCCACAGAAATTCGCACCGATGCAAGTGGCATCGGTCTTGGTGTAGTTTTGGCACAATGGAAAGACACCCAAGCCGAATACGTAGTCGCCTATGCAAGTCGCGCTCTCAAGAAGGCTGAATTGAATTACTCCGTCACAGAGAAGGAATGTTTGGCCATAATCTGGGCGTTGATGAAGTTTCACCCGTACCTTTACGGCCGTCCTTTTCGATGTGGTCACAGACCACCACTCTCTATGTTGGCTGTCCACCTTGAAAGACCCGTCCGGACACCTGGAGCGTTGGGCAGTTCCATTGCAAGAATACGACATCCGTGTTGTTTATCGTTTCGTTCGCAAGCATGCGGATGCCGATGCACTTTCGCGATCGCCATTAACACCAAATGTGGCTTCTCTGTCACGCCTTTTTACCACCTTGTCACCTATCGACACCACTGACATGCTTTCGGAGCAGCGTAAGGACCCATACCTTGCATTGTTACTCGACTACCTTATCGATCCATCTGCTGTCCCTTCCACGAGAGCGCTACGCGGCGAAGCAGCCCACTTTTCCGTGCGAGACAACATTCTGTACCACCACCACTACATGCCTGGTGGTCGGAAGTGGATCGTTGCTTTCCCTGCTCATATTCGCTCTGAAATCTGCATGAATTTCCATTCAGGTCCCCAAAGTGCACATGCAGGTGTCCTGAAAACCTACCAAAGAG